TCCTGAATCCGAGGTTCGACTATCCGACGGACCCTCCTCTCCAGGACCCCTGAATAGACCTTACCAGGGAGGCTTAAGAGTGTGACCCCCCCTGTAATTTGAAATAAACGAAATAAAACTAAACTATAATGAAAAATCCTAAACTATTATAACCTTGATTTGGTATAACCTTCAGCTGTTACAACACCAAACTTTAGCTCAGTATCTTATCTGTGAAATTGGTTGGCTAATGTGACCGCCATCTTGAATGAATCGGGATGAGTTGTAAATCTACATCCAATTTTCTATCTTCTGTGAGTTTTCAAAAACTTTATTAAAATATGTCCAGTGGGCTCATGAAATGTTTTGCTAATGCCCTGTCACACTTTAACATTTAAGAATGTATGCCAAGTTATAAACATTTTCTTATGGATGAATTACTAATATATTCATTAAACTTGTTAGCATTACATATGTCCAAAAGAGGCTTCCGGTAGATACCTTTTAATTCCATCGTCAATGTAAACATCCTTAGCGTTGGTCAAAATATTCACAAGTTGACATAAGTTATTTAAAATGTGATAGTATGACAGGGCCTTGCCAGACAGAAGTGGATGATGCCAACAGGTAATGCCAATTTTTTCAAAACATGAAAAAATGTGTAGTTATTTGAGAACCTGTTGAGGATAATTTTCAGCTACTCCTAAACCAAATACTTGCTTTATTTCTGTAAAAATGTCTGAGCTATAGCCGGTTTTGTTGCCTAAAGCCATTTGGCTGTGGTGGCCATTTTGAATTGAATTGACTCAAAGTTAATTACTTAAAGATGACTATCTAATTATTATTTTCTGAAAGTTTCATTAAACATGATTAAGTGGGTCATGGGATGTTTTGTAGACATAGTTGATTCCTGTAGTAAATAACAGAGTAAAAAAACAAACAAAAAAACAGGTAATCGGGTAACACTTAAAGGATGTGTTGAGGGTCTCCCAGACACCAAATTTTAGCTCAGCTGTACAGTTGGCTAGGTAATTATTTTTGTGTTGCTCAAGGTTTCTTAGCTGTGGCAGCATTTTCAATAGGGTTGACTCCAAAGGTTAACGAGTTTTAGATGTACGTCCATTGATTACTTTATGAAAGTTTCAATAATTTCTGTCAATTGGTCCATGAGATATTTGCTAACACACATAGGAACAGGCCTAAAGCATTATTCTACCTAACGTATGTATAACACAGTGGCGGGCCGTGTGTCTTACACCCTTCGATTGACAGAGAATAGACCTGCAGGACGCGGGGGTAACGCAGCAACAGAAAGAGCAGGGAGGGAGAAGAGGCTGCCAGCTCTAAAACTTAATAACTTTTGAAATAAAAAAATAAATACATAAAAATAAGAGTCCTATTAAATAAAAAAAAAAAACAGTCCTATAGGTCTGTATGCAAAACGGGGGCAAACTCATCTAATTAATGGTAATAAGCTCTGCTGCACCACGGACAGGTGTCTCTTTGCACCACAGACGGGTGTGTGTCTGCACCACGGACGGGTGTGTGTCTGCACCACGGACGGGTGTGTGTCTGCACCACGGACGGGTGTGTGTCTGCACCACGGACGGGTGTGTGTCTGCACCACGGACGGGTGTGTGTCTGCACCACGGACGGGT